CAATTCTTCGTGGTGAGCAAAATAGACCAAATGAAATGTTGTTGTTAGTCACTGAAACTACGCTTACAATTAGAGCAACCCTTCTTGAAATTCAGTCAATAACGATTAAACTTGAAGACGATTCACTGCTTTTATAACCGCGGAACAATAATTATCATATTTAATCTATTATCCCATAACTCTCAGCACCTGGCCGTAAGTCTACTGCAGTACAATGCGTCCACAATGCTCACTGTAGCACACATATCATTATTGGAAATCTACTTGCGATATAATTTAATGTGCTAGACTGCTTGTCACTGGTGTGTAGAACAAAAACTAGTTAGAAAGCAAAGCAGCAGTGCACGCCTGTTTCGACCTGGCTGGGTATCGAAAGCAGTGCAGCTCCATATCTAACGTCCGGGGTGATCAAGCATGAAAGGCTAAAATTACGTAGCTTCGGCACTGATGTGTTCGAATTCTTATTCCGTAAGTTACGGTACGTAACACCTGCGTATAGCATTTGTATAGACTTTTGCGAGAGTAGAATGTTCTCATTTCAGTCAAAAATTACACATCTCATCAATAGAAGGAAAGATACAAGTAAAATATTTATCCTTTAAGGTTACTGAGAAATTCTGAGGAGGCGCACTCTGGGTTTACAAGGATTCTGGCAAGATAGGGAACTGGGGAATTTCTGTATAGACTAACGCGAGAAGAAGAACGTGTCGACGTATGAGAGCAGCATTGAGATAAATCGCTATGTAAAGGATGGTTGGGGTCAGCGAGGATTTTCTGGGCAAACGTTTCACATGCGGACAAGTGAAGTTCACGCAGTTTTTTAGATAGCTCATCTACGGGTATAAAAGACACACGACTGATGATCGACAAACCGCGACGAAGAATTTTGAAGTCTTTCTTTAGTATACCAGCAAAAACCACCGGAGAACAATAAAGAAGAACGGGGAAAACACATTGATAAACAAAAAGTGAAGTGATTTTTTGCTTGGCATTGAACTGCCTAAGTCTTCGAAGTTGATAAGATAATTTGCGAAGTTTCTGTACAGAGTTGTAAATATGGGATGTCCACTTTAATTTAGTGTCAATTGTAACTCCCAGATACTTCACAGATTCAACTCTAGTTAGAGGAACCGTGTTTATGACAGACGAATCACAAGGATAAACAGATCGAGAAAGGGAGAAAGTGCATTCGAAGCACTTGGATAAATTATGAGACAGTCCAGAACGAACGGAAAATTCATGAATATGCAATAGATTATTCGAGAAATGTAAAAGGTCCTCAGGCACAGAAATGGCTTGGCAAAGGGCTACGTCATCAGCATATTTAAATAACTAGTCTGGAGAACTCGCAGACAGATCACTGATGTAGGTAGAAAACAAGAACGGAGACAACACGGCACCCTGTAGTACTCCCGAATCGTTCACGAGTGGTTTAGACGTTTTCCTACCGAGCCGAGTCTGCTGAGTTCTGTTTGTAAAGTAGTCGACGAGCCACGCCAGTAGGTGCTTGGGACAGCCAAATGATTCCAGTTTACGAAGAAGGACGGAACGTGGAACAGAGTCAAAAGCTGATGAGAAATCTAAGAAAACACNACCTGTTTGATTTATAAGCGAACTGGAGATGGTCTTCAGGGGTACAGAAGGAAACAGAAAGGCGTTTGAGAATGGCACGTTCCGCCAATTTAAGACCACATGACGTTAGAGCAATGGGACGAAACGTTTGGACATGATGTTGGATCTGCAAGGTTTTGGATCGGGAATGATCTTGACGGGTCTCCAGCAATCGGGAATAGAATGCGAACTAAGTGATGTGTTCAGAATAGCAGTAAAAGCATCCGTTAGAGCCAGGGGACCATGCTTTAGAAGGGATGACGGTAAACCGTCAGGACCAATACCATAATACTATAATATAGACCTCTAAAAACCGCAATATTGAATAAAGTTGCATAATTCCAAACCATGCCGAATGACCATTTCTTTAAAATCACCAGCGGAAGCAGTTCTTGTATGTCCCTCGATAATGCCTATAAGGTTCATTTTATTTCATTCATCAATCGCATAAAGTGACATCTTATAATTTTCAGCTATGAATGAGTTTACTATTCAATCCGTGTCAAACGTTTCCCAAAATAATCAAACGCAGAAGGTGCATTTGACATCAGAAATCGAACCGAAAAAATATATTTGTTGACGTTAACAACTTTCTTTGTCTTAACCTGGACTCAATGTGCGATCAAATTGTTTTCTCATTTACAACGCGTGTCCGTTTCAGCAGCAGGACTGAATCCAGGTAAAATTACACAATAATGGTTGGGAAATATACAGTGCGGCCTCAAATAAATATTTATTTATAGTTCATTATTAATTGGGCATATGGAACAATCACATATTCGGATATATATCGTGTTTGCTCGGTAATTGTTGGGGTTATTTGCCTTTATTCTCGATGTTGTACAACGCGTTACAAAGTGACCGGAAGGAACACTGAACGTTCTTGTTAATTTTGTATTGTGACTCATGCGACATTTTAAGGCAGCTACATTTACACTCCAATTCAGAAACTTTTGTATAGCTGAGCGAAAATAAGAGCTATAAGCAAACTCAAACATGTATTCACTTGTGTGGGTGAATAATCCCAGATAGTTTCTGTGAGCCAGTCGGCCATACAACTGTTACTGTATTCAAATGCTACAAGCTTTAATTTAAAAATGCTTTGTAGTTGGCATCACTGAAAATCTAGTTTATACTTGTATTTAGAAGTGAGCCTATTGCCCAGTCTCAGTTACATTCCGTCTTCCTTATAGCATCCTAATGTCGTGAGGGTAAGATTCGGTTCAAGTAAAATTTCCATGTGGGAATTAATCATTGGCGTTTTGTTAAAACATCTCACATTCTGTTGTGAGCTCCCACGTGCTCAAATCAATCATTTCCCATTCAGTCAGTCCAAATTCAACATGCTCCGGTTCATTGTTCACTCCCTGTTTCTGAACAGCGGCAACTATTGCGCGTTATAAAAGCGAAAATGATGGCACGTTTTGCAGTCTCACCGTCTCTTTAAACAAATGCGATATTCTTAAATTATTTTGTTCTATGACATATACTCTTATTTGAGTAATCAAAACAACACCAGTAGACATAAGTCTATTCCCACCGGGCCTGACAATGCCTTCCTATGGTCACGAACTCACTTTACATTTACTCATTCATTCATTCATTCATTCATTCCTTTGAAACCAAATCTGGTGTCTGTTCAACCGTTTTTTATAGGACACCGCCCAGATTGGCTTAACTGAGGAGCATGAAGCTCCGGAATGACTGCAATCTTCACTCATTAGACCGATCTGGGTCCTGCAGATAACACATATAAGTCATCCTTCGATTCAGTACAGTCGGAAAACAATAGTTCAATTCGGTCACAAATTAATGGATCAGAGATGGGTACTCATTTTTATTGATCATAAACAGATATGCATAGTTTATGTATCACCTGTTCAAGCCAAACAATATATTCCACCATGAGCATTGTTTAACTAAAACGGATGAGCGAAGGTAAAATACTGTATTCTTCGTCAATGGAGATGAATTTTATTCGCAGTTTCGAAAGCACTAAACAGTTCAGAAGTTTAAAGGAAACTTCCTCAAAGAGTGGCTAGTCGTCACATACAATACACAATAGCTATGAGTCATCGTACTCGTAATGAAGTTTCAAAAAGAGACAAGAGGGAATAAAGCAGTCAGTTCCATCCGATTATCAATGAAATTTCCAGTCATTTCAGAAAACGCAGAGGTTGAATGTTTCGTTCAGTATCTTGGAAACAGAATAGTGGATTTGAGAACAATCGGATGTCGAGTGTCAGAATTCATCTCTAAAAGTCAAATCCTGTCGGTTACAGCCCGTTCAGCAATGAAACTAGGGAAGTTCGGTCGTTTGTTTGATCCATCCGTTCGTGCCAGCTTTGAATCAGAACTAGGGAAAGAACTAAAGTTCCTGCAGAGTGGTACTGTGAATGAACAATAAGATCCGATTCGACGAGTAATGCACTCCGCAGCGAGAGTTGCTTGTGGATCTGAAGTGGTAGCTCACCCGATGCACAGGATATGTGATGAATTAGTAACACTGAAGGAGAAAAAGCGACGAATCCCGATCGCCCGGGATCAGAGAAGGGCTGGATGACGTAGGCAACATCAGCTCAAGAAGAGCCTCAAGAAAGACTGTGAGAACTGCGTGCTAGTGATAGGGAAGTAGAAGCTGCATCATGGAATAGTCAGACACTGTTTGAACTGATATGCAACACGGAAGTTCGGTGAACCACAGTTGGTTAAACAATCTACGACAAAAGTGCACACGCTATTCGCAATGGGGAACAAAGATTTGACCGGTGGACGGAGTACTTCAACGAACAGTTCAGCTGGCCATGTGCTAAATAAACCATCCCGTATGTTGTAACTGAGGCTCCGTGGGTAGTGTCACATGAACCTCCTACTGAAGCAGGAGTACGATCTTGCATCCAAGCACAGCATAACAGGACGTATCTCCTCCCACTCATTTTAAGATGGGGGGATGACCTCGTAGACTCTATTACTAATATCATTGGTAACATTTGGTCATAAGATCGCATTCCATCATCCTGGAGCAAGTCACTGATCGATCCAATCTTTATGAAGAGATCTCGCAACGGCTGCACGAACCACCGTGAAATAAGTGTGACCCCAATCGTCATCAAGTTATGCGCTTCCGTCTCACTTCGACACCTGACTCATTTAGGAGAGATAAACATCCGCGACCAAGAAGCAGAATTTCGACCAGGTTGCGGTCGTATCTATCAAGTCTTCACTGTGCATCAAGTCTTCGGGTACGACATTCACGCCGTCAAACAACGGTTTTCGTATTCCTTGAAACAGATTAGGGGAGATTTGACCATAAAGGTTCGCTTTCTTATCCCTAAAAGTGAACCCAGCTGGAATCTTCCCTAGGCATCCTCAATTACGTCTTATACATTATGCGTTTGGCAGCAATCAGTGAATTCGTTTCATTGTATTGTGTGGTGGAACGACGACGACGACGACGACGACGACGACGACGACGACGACGACGACGCGATGATGATGATGATGATGATGATGATGATGATGATGATGATGATGATGATGATGATGAATTAAATCGAAAATGCTTTACAGTTTTTAAATTTAATGATGTTTTATCGGTGTTCACCCGGAACCGTATGTAAGAAAATGTTGTAAGATGATATGAGTATCATACAATGTTGTGCATGCACTATATCTTGTCAACAGACCGCATCTTATTGCAGTCCTCGTTTTTTCCAGCCCCGTCCGACTGTATTTAAAATCCAGCCAATTTTGCACAATGAACATTTTTCAAAATATATTTTTTTCTTAAACTACTTCTTGTCTTAACATGCGTTCGTGAACGTACGGTTTTTTTCAACTTCTCCCTCGGCACTCAAGTTTCACTCGTCAGTGAATTTGTTTTCATGTTTGATTTTGAGTTAGATTGTGCAAGGAACTGCACTCATTCCGAAATGAAATGTTTTTGCGTCTCCAGGCTTCTTTTTACTTTATTCCCGCTTGAAAATTGATGGGGTGACAAGAGCTTGTTTTACTGCATACCGGTAACTGACAAGGAGGTTGGATCATTTATTCAAAACTAGCTAGAAGTTATACACATAATGTGAGCTGGTGCATTCCAGAAATTGATTCTATCTACTAATGAAAAAACTTAAAACCACCCCGATGATTTCATCTAATAACTGATTGATCAAAACAACAAGCGTCCACCTGTGAATCAGATTAGTCTAAGACAAAATCAATGGAAGGTTTTGTGAGAAGAGCTATATTCGAAAGGATTGTCAACAATTGCGGCTTATCGGTCTGTGTGATTACTAGTTGGTCCTTAATGATAGGGCTTATGAGTACATCGAAAAATATTTGGATTTCGGGCTGAAATAAACCATTCGTAGTATATATATAGTTCATCAATAAGGGGCTCTTAATAATTTAGAGGAACCAATTAAAACAACGTTTCATTCGTACTTGTATCTCATCAAAATCGAGTTTAATACACAGTTACGAAACGTTCACTAAATGCTTGAAACTTAGACTGTTTTCGTAACCGTATTCCCAAACTATCGTCTTCGGATATTGTTGTTGGTACCGATAGCTATTTGTCATGTAGCGCAAAATAGAGCAGAGCTATTTGCGTGCAGGAATTCATGCACTGTGTAGCGCATTCACAACAATCAAAGTCGTTTTCAACAGTCCCCAGTAGTTCCAGGTTCTCCAGAATCGGGTAGATCTGGTTCCGATTAATTGTCCCCAATCCAAGCAATGCATCTGGTCAAAACGATCTGTGACCAATTTATCTCATCTCTTGACACCTGACTGCGATCTGTTGCACGCTGAGTGGAGAAACCTGAGACACAAATGGGCTGTTGGCTAGAATCGGTTACTCAGGACAGCTGAAATACGCATGAGGATTGTTTGCTCAAGACGTAGCAAAATCCCAAGCTTCAATTTTTTTCCTGCAGCTCTATTCACGGTTGACCAAGGTTGACGTGTTTTTTTAAGGTTTGAAGCGTAAAACAACTCTCATGTTCTTCTAGAGAATTGTTTTCCCTCCCCTCGTATTTGAGAAGATCCTGCGTAGCGAGCGTCACAACTACAAGAATATATGTTTGTTCCGAATACCATCAAAACTGTTGACCTCAGTCATCCTTAAAAGTGCATAACATGCATGAAAATCTGATCCGCGAGGATCGGACTGTTTTCCGCCGGTTATGGTTGCATTGATATTATCTCCACCCGCAGATAGGTTTTAGAGTAACGTAATGCCTACTGAAGACCGACGATCGTTGTGTTCATTGCTATCCATGCGGCTCATGAATCTATCGATTGGGCTGTACTGTGGAGCTGTTTGTTTTTAAAAATGGAGTATAAGAGAGGCTGAATGTCAACTGGTTACAATACCCGGACTCAAAATATTCTTTCTATAATCCACCAGTGCTATCTTCGCAGCGTTCCTAGTATTGGGTGAGAATCGGAGGGTGAAAAATATCAAATCTCGTCATCCTGTTTCGGGAACTGATAGGTGCAATTTGAAGGCAGAATTTATTCTACGCGGACTTCATATCACATCCTCTACCTCTCTGAGCACGAGTTGGAAAGGATTTAAAGAATCGACGAGGTGCAACATGTTCGCAAAGACGTAGTTAAGAAAAATTAAATACGATTTGATTCACAGTCCGGTGGCCGAGTGGGTAGCAGGCTTACGTTCTGTCTGTGAGGTCATGAGTTCGATCTCCACTGAGTTTTTTCTATTACCCACATTTGTGTGGTGAACAGCAGACGGAGCGAGCCCCGTAGTCAAGAAGACCTGCCGCTCCATCGTGGAAACCGGTAACCTGAGCCCGAGACTTGGACTGGCGAACCACATAACGCCCCAATAGATTAGGTGTGGTATTGAACAGAACGACAGCAAAGCTGCCTACCACCAAAGTTGGATGGCAGTGGCAAAGTTTGAACCTCGGACCATGGAGTCGAAAGCACAACAGTGACAGCGGCTAAACCACTGCACCATCACCACCAGAAAGATTCGCATTTCTGACGAGACCCAACCAAGTCCAAATAACTGTCTAGTGCTTCCTAGCTTGTCAGTTTATGATTCATTTGCTCGTTCGAAGACGCAGTTCACCACATGACCGAAAAGATCTACGGGATGTTTGGAACATGATCTAATTTCTGAATGTGAAGCATTTTGCTTCAGAACTGAATTTGGCTGTTGTGATGAGCTCTCCAGATTGTAGCTCAGGGATGACGTATGTCGCTGTCAAAACAACTAGTCGACAAGGACGATAAGTACCACGGTGTCTCCCTGATTGTCGATGATTGATCAAACCGGTGCAACACCCTGACTTTCATTACATTTGTTCCTCCAAACGTTTAGTGTTCCGAGCCTCATTCACGGAAGTGAATTGAGTATTGTCCCACATCAGACACAATACATCTGATATAATGTCCACTTATATATTTTGTACGAGTTCTCGATTTTGACGGCGGATGCTGGAGCATCAGTCGTAAGTTAAAAAAGCCATAGTAAGAAACATAAATAAACTTTATTTACCAACATGAACCATAGACTTGATAGAGGTATTCTACTTTTGTCTCGCTCAGGTTCAGTTTGTCCTTCTTCATTTTCGCAAACTGGAGGTGGTCACTTTAGCGTGGAGTCCTTTAAGTTGACTGCCAAACAGAATTGGTCAGTTTCCTCTAATACATGTCGCACGCTGACCACTGACGACCACTCTCGAGGCAGCTAACTTGACTCGGGTAAAACCTTTCGATTACATTCAAATTCCAACTTTCGAGTGGTAACTGAATGAATTATACTTTGCACATGACCCTGTCGGAAATTGCATGGCATAAAAAAAATATCTCGTGAGGTCTAACCGTATTTTGCCATCAACCTCAAATGTAAAAAAATGACCTCCACAAATGTCTCTTGAAAATTACATTTTTCGAAAGCCTCTCTTAATCAGTGCAAGCAACTTAGAGATTGGGCTGTGAAGAAGGCTAACATCAATGGGCGGTGGTGGCCCGGTGGTAACGTCACCAATTATCACCCCGGAGGACGAGTGTTCGAATCCCACCACCACCGCCTGACTTTCCCCATTTGTGTGTTGTAGGGCAGCCCTCTGATTGGCCGCTTCCCCCTTCCTGAAAATTGTATCTTTGGATATTCAATAAAAGGAAGTAAAATGAAAAAGAAAAGAAAAGAATGTTCTCTTGATTTAGTCGCTTTCCAACTCGTTATACATGATGAATATTTACTTCTTTCGACATATAAATTGAAATTCGTTGAAAAACTAGGTTAATAGACCAGCTGTCTCCGTGTGATGAATTGCTTGTTGTCCACCAGTGATTTAAACTGATTACCAAATGGACGGGTGATTTTGTTGGTAAAATCAGTAAGTGCTCTGCTTTGTTGGCCGTTCAGTAACGGCTTCATATCAGGTGGCCCCAGCTGCATTTCAAATTGAGCCATCATTTTTCAAACGGCAGAATGAAGAAAAGAATATTAATTTACCCGAACTACTCTGCATATTGATTCTGTGCTACCTTTCTCCTCTGTGATGAAATTTAACCATCGCCTTGCTTCGATGTAATCGGTTTTTTAACTCTACGTTTGTGTCTCGAAGGAGACATTTCGTTGATTGCACAATAAATTGGGCTTATTTTCACACCATAGCATTTGCCCATGACAGGCACTGAGTCTTCAGACTTATGTGCTTCTCTGATTCCGTTATATGCCAAAACTTTTGAATATTTCCTCCGGTTTGGAAATAGGACACTACANTTGAAATATAGTTTTTGTTCTTCTAGTATTGTGGATCTCGCGTTAGTAGATTTTAGCCAAATACCTTTCCAATTCGGTTCAGCTAAAATATTATCATTAACTGGCTTACGTGTTGTGCAGTGAATGAATAGAGTTTGGTTATTTGGAATACGTGCGTTCCACCAAATAAATAGTCTGATGCAAAATAACCATTCATTAGAAAGAATGCATTTCTAAACAGAAACTCGCAAACTTCTTCGAATTTCATCACAACACTCAAGGACGCGTAAATTCAAAGGGTGATGGGATAGAACTAAAAACATTGAAGTTGAAGAAAATGTCAGGAATAAATAAACTTCATCCATAACTATCGATACACATGTCTGCTATTGAACAGTTAAATCTATTTCCGAAATGGTAGCCATCTTTCACGACAATGATTAGCAGCAGTATTTCTGAAGAGCCTCAAAACGTATTTATTAGAGACGTAAAACATTATCTCCAGAAGTTGATCTTGAGGTGTGTAGCTCGTTTAATAGGAGTATTTTTGGTGTTATCATGCCCAAACCGGACCAAACATCCAAAAGATTCAGGCACAATGTTAAAGCCGGAATGTAACTAATTTGAGAGGCACATAAAGCCGATTACTGCGGTCTGAACTTATGCAAGTGCTTCGGTGTAAACATACGCCCAATAAGTCGCCTGAGCAATGCAATTAGTCCGTCAACACATACGTTTAGATGAAGGAAAACGGTTCCATCGAAGCAGGGCAATGTTTGAATTCGATCGCAGCTGAGAAAAGTTGCAAACACTAATACGGAAGATAGTCCGGAAGAAAACTTTGCAGCAGTTTTCCTATGGCATTGATCAAAAAAAGAT